GAAATAAGAAAAAAATTCAAAGTTAACTGAGATTATTTTTTTTAACCATGGAAATCCTTAAAAGTTATTTTTTGCATTGTTTTTGCAACCCACTTTTCACACAAGTGATCCTTATTCATCTGAGTATTTCCATCCGGCCAAATTGGGAGATATAGTCCCACTTGAATTTAATGATAAGTTCTGCTGAAAAAATAGATGCTATAGCTCTCACTGACTTTAGTGGGGCTAATGGCACGTGTAAGGAATAGGCACATGAGTGAAAGGTCCCAATATCACACAAACATAAATGAAAAAGCCTTTTCATATTGTGCTTGTTTGTGATGCTTTGATAGCAATTCAGAACTCAATGAATAGGAATGACATGGAGGTGAACAACACAGGCATCAGAGTGGTAGCCATGTTAGTCTGTATCAGTAAAAAGAACGAGGAGTACTTGTGGCACCTTAGAGACTAACAAATTTATTTGGGCATAAGCTTTCACGGGCTAAAACTCACTTAATCAGATGCATAGGATCACAGGCATAGATCCTATGCATAGATCACAGGCATAGGAAATCCACAGATATTGATCCCAGTGGCCAGACCTGTTGCTCTCCTCAACTTGTATCCCAATTCTATAGTAACTCTGAGTTCTATTATTTTCTGAAAAGTAGAGAGGAAGGGCTAACATAAACATAGAAGCTAAGAAACATAAGAGAACATCTAACAACATGGCATATACATTTCAATCAATACCACTTTTAAATTAGAAGTGTAATCTCTAGGGCAGCAAATCCTCAGCTAGTGTGAATTGTCACAGCTTCCTTCGTTTAAATCAATAGAGCTATGACAATTCACACCAGCTGAGGATCTATCCCTCTGTTTCTAACAAATAAGGTGTCTCTATTTGGGGGGAGGGATAGCTCAGTGGTTTGAGCATTGGCCTGCTAAACCCAGGGTTGTGAGTTCAATCCTTGAGGGGGCCATTTAGGGATCTGGGGCAAAAATTGGGGATTGGTCCTGCTTTGAGCAGGGGGTTGGACTAGATGACCTCCTGAGGTCCCTTCCAATCCTGATATTCTATGATTCTATCACAATTTGCACAAAACCACATCAACAGGCTGTGGGGTGGGGCCAGGAATGAGGAATTCAGGGTGTGGGAGGGGGTCAGGGCTCTGGGCTGGGGGTGCAGGCTCTGGGGTGGGGCCTGGTATGAGGGGTTTGGGGTACAGGAAGGGGCTCTGGGTTTGAGGGGGCTCAGGGCTGGGGCAGAGGATTGGGGTGCAGGGTTGGCGCATGGGCTTACCTCGGACAGCTCCTGGTCAGCAGTGCAGCGGGGATGCTAAGGCAGGCTTCCTGCCTGTTCTGGCACCGCAGACCACACTGCGCCCCAGAAGCGGCCAGCAGCAGGTCCGGCTCCTAGGCGAAGCGCAACCAGCTCTACGTGGCTCTCACCGGCAGGCACCACCCCCCAGCTCCCATTGGCTGGTGCTTTGAGCGGGGGCAGCACATGGAGCCCCGTGGTCCCCCCACCTAGGAGTCGGACCTGCTGCTGGCCACTTCCGGGGTGCAGCGTGGTGTCAGAACAGGTAGGGACTAGCCTGCCTTAGCCGGGCAGCACTGCCAACAGGACTTTTAATGGCCCAGTCGGCAGTGCTGACCAGAGTCGCCGCAACCCAGTGCCTTACATTCCACGACGACCTGCAGTTTGAAAACCACTGTTCTAGACAACTGATCCACTGTACCTCACTTATTCTGTTGTACTAAGTGCATGAAGAAAGTTATGCAATCATACCACTTCTCTGGGCAGCCATTTTATGGTATCTGGCCCCACAAAAAGTTACAAGCAAGTCATGCAGGAAAAGTCTGACCAAACCCTAAATTTTCTAGCAACCTGCCAGAGAAACATCTAACTCTATCAGATTGGGAAACTGTCAAAAAATACTCCGCTCTCCCTCAGTGCCACCAGCCTGTCTCTCCCTTGCCTATCTGAGATGGCAGCATCTCGGAATCATAGCACTTTAATCTTCTGAGACTTGAGGCTCTTTAGTAGAAAGGACTAAACTGGATATGACAGGAACCCCTGAAGCCTCCTAAAACCTAGTTTTAAACTCCCTATTTAAATAGTTCCTTTGTCCACCTTGGAGTCCAGTAGCTGGTTTTCTAATTGCTTGGAACCAAAAGTACTCATCCTTGAGAACTGTAGTTTGTGCACTGTCCATTCTCTTATAATAATTGTGACCCTCAGGACGTACGGTCCTTCCCATACTTAAGGACCTCCGATCACTGCTGCGGCTCTAGAGGTTGTGTACAGAAAGAGAAACTCCCGTCCTTTCTGGGAACAGGAAAAACAGAGCTGGCCCAGTTTGGCTGATTTTCCCAAATTCTTTGTGTGGGTGTTGCTGTCAATAGCTATTGTATCTCTATCTAAATCTCTATCCTGCTATCTTTATTCTGAGACTGACAAAATCTCAGCCTCTCTGGACTGAGAAAATGCCTAAAATTCAACTATGATCCAGGCATCTCACGCACTGGCAAACAGTGTGACCATCCCCTCCACAGGGCTATTTTCTTGTTATTTCTGTTGTGGCAGAAGTGAGCAATATGCTTAGGAGGCATTTATTTTCAGTAAATTTATGGCTAGTTTCTGGACTTGAGGTTAGCAGTGATAGTATTGCAGAGCACAAGCATAACACGAAGGTGCATTGCATCAAGACTGGGATTTGTATGCATTAGAGATAAATCTGATTAGTTTAGTTTGGTTAGTCTTCCGGTTTAGTCTTGGGTTTGCCTGTACTGAGATAAATTTTCCAGTCACGGAGAATCACGTCACGCTCTTTTTTTCACTACTCTGGGCCTAACTCAGTACTTCAGATCATTTCATTTTGGCATCCACTCTGCTTCTGCTCTCTTGCCTTCTCTGTAAACTATTTTAGGTGCAGTTAGGGTACCAATCTCCTTAATGGAAACACAGGTTAACAAAAATTCAACATTGAATAAGCAAAAATGTAAAGGACTTGAAATGCACTCTTTTTTTTATCGTGGGGTTAAGCCTTATTAAACATGAATACTTTCCCTCTCTTCCTTCTTCTCTTTTTCTTCAATCTGTATCTTTTTGCTCTCTCTCATCTTCAGATACATAGTAATGCAGATACACAGGTTTTGCAAAAAGTGGGGTTTTGCACTAAACTCTCTACAGGGTTCATTATGGTAATCTAGTTTGACCTCCTGCATAACACAGGCTGTAGAACTTTATCATGGGAGTCTCGTATCAATCCCATAATTTCTGCTGGAGCTAAAAAATATCTTTTAGAACTACAACCAATCTGGGCATGACTTAGACTCAGGCTGATCCCTCCCTTCAGTTGCTCAAGAAGCTAAGAGCATGGCTACACTTGCAGATGTAGAGCGCTTTAAGTTAAACCAGCTTTCATAGAGCGTAGTAGGGAAAGCGCTACAATCTGTCCACACTAATAGCTACAAGCGCATTGGTGTGGCCACATTTGCGGCACTTGCAGCGGCATTGGGAGCGGTGCATTATGGGTAGCTATCCCAGCATGCAAGTGGCTGCAACGTGTTTTTCAAATGGGGGCGTGGGGTGGAGTGTGACAGGGAGTGTGTTGTGTATATGTGGGGGAGAGAGAGTGGGTTTTTGGGGGGCTGAGAGCATGTCAGCATGCTGTCTTATAAGTTTAGACAGCAGCAGACTGCCCTCGCGCCCCCCCCCCCTCTCTCTCTCCCACACAGCATTCTACACTAATGGTTGCTTTGTCTCAGAGCAGATAAGCAGCAGGCTGTCAGAAACGGAGCTTTCAAAGGGCATTTCTGCATTCCTACAGCCGATTCCAAACAATGACAAGAATGGCCACTTGACTTAAGGGGATTATGGGATGTTTCCAGAGGCTGCATCAGAGAGCAGTAAAGCAACACTTCGTTCACACTTGCCAGTGTGGATGGGTAGTGAGCTAGTGCACCCAGGCTCCTTTGTTGCGTTGTAACTCACAAGTGTAGCCAAGCCTTTAGACTCAGCACTGACTGAATGCCTTACTACCTAGTATTATAAATACTTCTCACCATCCCCAAAGGAGGTACAGTTAGCATTAGAAATGCACTGAAGACAACCAACAGCTCCAAATTTTGTTACAAACAAATGGAATTGTGTGGCTGGGCAGTAACAGAGATGGAACTTCTCCAACATCCCTTTAAACTCTGCTTGCATCAAGATTTTCAGGGGCAAATCTCAGACTCTCATGTCTCCATAGTGGAGCACCCATTCCTTTACAGTGGCAACGTGAGCTGAGCTCAAGAAGCACATTTCTCTTTATTCCCCAAAATTGCATTTAAGATTGGCAAAGTTTCTGTATGAGATTAAAAGGGAAGCAGCTTTGTAAGGAAACAGAGACTCGGCGTCCAATCAGCAAACAAGGAGGCTACAAACTGTTGGAAGTGGATTTACATGGGGGTGTGCGTGTAGGGATTGAGTTAACATCAGAAAGGGCAGGCTATAGGATTTCTGTTTTTGCAAGGGGGTTTCTTTATGGCTGCTGTGGGAGTTGCAGAAATGAGCGGCATACAGAGACTTTGCCCCCAAGCACTGAAACATGCGTGCTGATCATTGCCTGCAGCTGTTTTAAATGCAGCCAACACCATAGCTCCCACAAAGCTGAGAGGACGGAAGCAAGTGCACCCTCAGCTGCAATGGTCTCAAAGCCAGACCTGACAACGTGCCTGGTACCGAGCAGAAGCGATCCGCTCGCACGTGAATTAATTGAAGGCAGGGATTATATCCTCCAGCGGAGGGTTACCAACCTCTCGCGCTCTGCTACAGCGCATAACGTAACTGAAAGCTGCTGATGCGTCTGCGGGGAGCATTTTGTCAAGGGCTCTCCGATTGGCCGAAGGGACCCTGCAATGGTTCTTCGGAAAGAGCCGAGTCTCCTGATTGGTTGCGTTGCACCTGCAATGCGTCAAGTAATGATGCCCGAAAGTAAGGGTGCTGGGGCTTGGCTTTCCTGTGAATGGCTGTCGCGCAGCGGCGGGGGAGTGGCGCCTTTCAGACGCGGGAGCTGGCCGCAGAGCGGCGCGCGCGGGGGCAGAAGCTGGGCGCGCGCCTTTGTGGGGAGGATGCGCGTGCGGATCCAGCAAGCTCTGATACTTGCAGCGGTGGCAGGGACTGGGCTCAGGCGAAGTATCAGGTGTGGCCGGAGGGAGCTTTTCTCCTTCCAGACCCAATCCTCCCCCACCTTTAAAAAAAAACAAAAAACCTCAGCTTCTGCTTTAGAAAGCAGCCAAAAGACAGGAACAGCCTGTCGTCTGAGCGCGCCCCTGTCCAAACACACAGAGCTCCAAGAGCTGCAAACTGGGTGTTAAAATCTCTCTTACTCCCCTGCTGCCGTGGGTGCAAGAAGCATTTACTGGAGGGGTTTTCAGACTGTGGCAATGGGAACGACAGGTGAGGATCTGTACACTGAAGTCAAAAGATGTACAGCCTTGTGACTATCCTATTGAAACACTGCAAAAACCTTCATCGCAAGGAGATGCTTTTGCAAAATTAGAGCCAAATTGAAACTCTCTGCAAACAAATGAGAACTTGTCATATGGTTATTTAAGACACCTAACAGCATCCAAAAATCTCAAACTCGTTGGCCCTGGCTAGAGATCATAGCTGTATATTGCCTAATAAGCTACAAGATAAGGCTGCCAACCTGTGACAGTTTGACATTAAGAAAAAAAGAAAGAGGAGCTAGTTTTTTAAATCATGTAATCCTAGTCTAATACAAATGTTTAATTAAAACACACATGCTGAAAAATATTCTTTATTATTAGAGGAAGATGCTTTTAAAAACTGGCTTAATATTGATCCAAAATGATTGAATTTCTCTTCAAATAAGCAACAATTTGTTGGCATGTCTGCAAAAGCTAGCTACAGGAAAGAATCTAAACATGGGGGTAGTTTACAGAGGCTTATTATTTTATTGAAAGACTTAAGTAATTTTTGTTATTTGAGGCTTTTTTATTGCCCTTTCAGAATTCTGTTGTTGAAGGGTGAGTCAGCAACAAGTCTGTGAACACAAGGTAGGAAGTTGTATTTTAAATGAGGCTTCACTCCTAATACATTAGTAAAAGCATGTTTGCATATGAAGAATCCTACTGCGTCAATTGCAACATTGAATAGGAACATGGGTCCTGACCACCCAGTTCCTTGACTTAGTGGGAGTTTTGCCTAAGTACAGAATGCAAGGCTCATTGTGTTCTGCTGCAAGCATTTTAAGGTTAAATAATTTTGAATTTTTTTATTCCTTTTGCTCACTATGAAATGAATGTATTTTTATTTTAAAATTGTCATGATTTCCTTTTCACAGCTTTGCTGCTATGAACACTTTTTACTGTATTTTTTCCCCAGAAGAATTGTCTCTAAAATTTTCAAGAATCTAAGCACATTGTAGCTTCCAGCCAACTGGAACAAATAGAATGAAACCTTTATTGGAAAATGATATGCCTGTGCAATTATAATTATAATATTTGTGGGTGAAGCAAGGTTTGCTAAAATAAAACATAAAAGCAAGATTATGAGCTCATTCCTTTTCTCACTTGGCCTTTTTGAGTATGAGAGCATTGCTTGGCAATATCATATCTGAAAAACTTGGGTCTAAAACAACTATAGGGCCTTCAGCAAAGGAATCTAAGGGTATAAAATAATAGGGAACCTTGTTTCTAAGTGATCTCTTTCTTTGAGAACAACTATGTACTAGTAATTATTTGTACTAGAAATTATTCATTTTAATAAAAATGTAATTATGCTGAATTCAATACAATGACTAAAGTATATGAGTGTCAGACTGAATCTGAAAAGGTATTTATAAATTAACATTTTACTGAGGAAATAAGCATGTACATTTTAGGGTTTAAAATTATTTGTTGCTGTGGTCTCTTGAATACATTTAGATAAATTTTACATAACAAGAAATAAATATTTGTTTGAAAGGAAAACACTAATGCTCTGAAGATGGAAAAAAATGATGGGTGTTGTTTTGTGATAATATATGTAAAGCAAGAGCTAGTTTACTTGGTTGTTGAAGATGAGTAAGTACAAATAATTGTAAATTATTCCTATATTAAAAATAGGTCACTGATTTAGTTAAGATAATCCAAAACTGAGCTATATAACTAACACTGGTGGGTTTATCAAATAATAATGTACTCTGTGATTCTGCTCCAAAAGCCGTAGTAACCATAGAAAACACCATGGATTGTAAATAATGGACTCTTATTTGCATCCTTTCTATATTTCCAAGTGTGTCATTGTAAAAAATATTCTGATTTGAAGGAAAGTTTTTCCTACGTCCGGTGTTGTTATTAGCCACTGCATATAACATGTAGCATCTGTTTTAAAACAACCAATGTATGTTCACTGCAATGGTTATCACACTGAAAACTAATATATACAGGTCTGCCATCTTATGGACTGTGAATGGTACTACCAAAACATTGGGTACAGCATTATTTTATTAGGAGCAGGAGAATACTTGTTTACAGTTTTTTCCTTTCAGATGCGTTCTTTCTACTGGAAGTTTTCCCAGCATTTTGACCAATTATTTTTATCTGCTTTTTCAAAGCGATTGTACATATATCTATATATAATCACTATGATATTTTTGTGCATGCCCACACACACCCCCCTCCCAAACTAATTCACTACATAAGAACATTATTAAAGTTAAAGACAAGCACTCAAAAGTTAGGAAATGCTAGAATTAAGGGTGCCTGTGCAACCTTAATTTGGTCCCCTTTTGCATGTGTGTTATGAGAGAGTCTTTAATTACATGCTTACAGACAAATTTTTTTCACAGGATCCCTATCTTATTCATTGCACAGGATGGACAGTGCCTATGTAATTAGAAGTTATTCCGTGTTTTGTTTTCTCCTTACTGTTCAATGTGTGGGCCCATGCCTTATTTACTGCACTCTATTCAAACCCTGTTCTGAAGACAGAATTATTAATTTTCTCATGGGCTTTTCTATGGTGCTCCCCTTCAGTAGACAGAGTGATTTACAAACATTAATTAATCTTCATGACACCCCTGTGAGGTGAGTGGGGGGTATTATTTCCATTTTACAGATAGGGAACCAAGGTACAGATGGATGAAAGTAAAAAGTTTTCACTAATTTTTGTTGGCCAACTTGAGACACCTAGAACCTGACTTTTTCAGAGTGCTTAGCATTATGTAGCACTTTCTGTGTTCGAAGCACAGCTTTCACTGATGTCCGTTGCAGCTGTGAGTACTCAGAACATCTGCAGATCAGACCCCAGGGTATCCTGTTAGCACCCAGAAAATTAGGAACACACAGTGCCCACCTGTGAAAAAGTGTGGTTTATATGACTTGAGTAGCATCACAGAGGAACTCTGCCCCAGATTTGTAAAGGGATTTAGGTGCCTAAACAGGCAGATAGGTGTCCAAATCTACCACGTAGGCACCCCTGACATTTAAAAAGTCATAGCTCAGGTACAGCTTAACCTTTCTAGGCATGTAACTTTCCTCTGGTCAGCGTTTTCAAAGCAACTAAGCATTCCTGCCACCCCACTGCTGACGAGCTGTGCAGAGCCCTAGTTTAAACTGGAGGCCCCAAAGCAGGATTCTCAAATGAGGCAGGGGAATGTCTGTCTCACCAATGGGGCCCGATCCCATAGACATGCCCTAAGGGAGGTGCCTAGCTCTGGCTCATCAGCCAGGTGTACCAGATAGATACCTAAGCCCCTTTCCTCCTGTAGGCCTAGTTTGACATAAGTAATTGGACATGGGTGAGGCCTTATATTTTGGGAGTCAGGATTAGGGAGGTAAATGGATCAGCAGGCGGGAAACAGAAGTCTGTACTAGCTAAAATAAGAGAGAACATCCAGGGAACTATTTACAATGGACAAGATAACTGGATAAAATAAGCCTGGAATGCAAGATGAGGCAAAGAGTAAGTCGTGCATGGACAGAGTATGCTGTACACAGGTTGGTTTTTACAAAGTGACCAAGCCAATCCCAAAATGTGTGATGTAATGTGTAAATGTATATAAGGGAAGAGTTTTCATGCTGTGATGCTCTAGCATGTTTCTACTGAGGATGTGCAAACTGATCTTTTTTCAGTTTATAACTTGGCCAGTGGATTTTCACAGAGATGGCAAAAGGCACATCCTTGATAAAAAGCCACGTCTGTGCCTAATTTTAAGTCTTTGCTCCAAAGCCCAGCGGTATTTGAGCTCAGAGAAAAGGTTGCAAGATTATTTTAACATGGATAAAACAACATATTTTTCCATAGCCTCATTCTTGGAAATGGCTGATCTGTTTTAGCTGATTTTTTTTTTTTTTAAATCAGCTTGAGGCAGACACCTGGCATAGAAAATTTCAGCCTGAATGGTTAAAATTTGGCAAAGTTATAAGAAAGGCCCTGTGTAAATCAGGATTTACTGGCTGGGCTCTTGGAGGAAGGAGGTGTGAGTGTCTGGGCTGGAGGGGCATGATTGGGCTCTGGGGGAAAAGTGGTGTGGGTGCACAGAAATTGTGAAAATACCCCAATACTGAGATTTTTTTTTTTTAGTATTCTTAAAAAAGAAAAAAAGTGTGAAATACTTTATATTTTATTACAAAAAATCACTTTGGCAAACTGTAATGCTCAGTTGTAACGTGTCTGTGTACTGTTCTTCTGCATGTGCAACATAGAGTGCTGTGTAATACTTTATTCCTGGGGGAATTCTGCGTCACTGTGCAATGCAGAATTTTGCAGAAATGAATGTTGGGCGTGCAGAATCCAATTTCTGTGGGGCAGGGGAGAAAGGTACTGCAGAGATGTTGGCTGCCACTAGGGGGTCACTTGACCTGGCACAGCCCAGCTCACAAATAGAAGACAAGGCCTGGGGTTCCCAGCCGCTGCAGTTCCTAGCGTACCCTGAAGGAAGGAGGCGGCTGCATGCAGGAAACTCCATGCAAGCCCAGGACCCAGCATCATGCTGTTTGCCCCCAGAGATCCAGAGGGAGATAGAGTCTGTGAGTGTCTGGGCTGAGCGGACCCCACAGCTGGGCTCAAGGGGGAAAGGGATGTGAGAGTCTGGGCCGGGGGGGCATGGCTGGGCTCTGGGGGAGAAGGGGTTGTGAGTGTCTGGCCCCCCGCCTGGGCTGTGGGGGGAGAGGAGGCAGAGAAGCAGGAACTGAGTCGTCATAGGGGTTTCTTTAACTCTCTACTCCTGGGGGAAAATTTGTGTGTGTCTGTATTGTTACAGACATACTTGCTGATAGGTATTTTGAAATAAATTACCAAAATAATTGAAACTGGCATGATTATGTATCTATGCAAATGAAGAAGTGGGTTTTTTACCCACAAGCTTATTCCCAAATAAATCTGTTAGTCTTTAAGGTGCCACCAGACTCCTCATTGTTTTTGTGGATACAGACTAACACGGCTACCCCTCTGATACATGATTATATAGTGTTATTTTTACCAATAAAATTTGCAGAATTTTTAATTTTTTGGTGCAGAATTCCCCCAGGAGTAGTAATAAATCAATCTAATTGCAGTCTAGGTGGGAAACACTGAAAGGAAGCCCAGTCCCACTCCCCCCGAAGGCTGCCATGTTGGATCAACTCAGACTTTCCCCAGAGGAAGTTCCATGAGGAAGTGTTCCCAAAAGGGGACTGTCCACAGGCTGTTGCTTAATGGCTCTGTGATTTAGCCACTCACTGGCTGACCCTGGAAACCAAGACGATGGGTGACCTCATGGGTAGTATTATTTTAGAACAATATTTAAAAATTCTTCCCACAGTGGTAAGACCTGACTGTCGCTTCTACCCAGCAACCATTTCAGAGACCATAGAGACAATGAAGAGGTTTTTGGAAGCAGAGGTCTGGAGCATTGGGACGATTTCCCCTCCATGAGGTTCACTGGACCCAGACTGTGTTTTGGAGCTCCCAGAATTTTGGGCCCCTTGGAGGGACAGAACCCCTACATCCCTGTGGATCTCCAGGGCCCAGTGCTCTAAGTTTCCAGGCCTCAAGGGGGCCTTCATCGACCATTCAAGAGGGCTTAGTCTTA